CCTCCGACAGCTGATAACAACCCACTGAAAGGCCATCTACCTCGGCTGTCTGGCACAGAAGCCAGGCCACTACAGCCAGCAATCCCACAGGCCAGAGACAGCAGGACAAGCACCCTGTCCATCTCCAAGGTCAAGTGCCCAGAAGACGAGCAACCAGGCTCCAGTGGGGCTTTAAGAGAGCGAGCAGAAATAATGGACTGAAAAATAACCAGGACAGACCTTGGAGGCACGGAGCTTGGAGGAAGCTCGGGCCCGGCTGCACCATCTCCAGGCCGTGCTGAACACCACGAGCACCCGGCCCACCTGCCCTGGGAGGTCCCATGTCAATATTAGAGTATCTCCACACTGGTTTCTCCTTTCCCAGACAACCTCAGCACGGAATGAATGCCTGAACGGAGCCCAAAGACCACGGGTGGGAAAGGGGGACAGCCCTCTCCTCGTCCCTGTTCTGCCCTGGCAGGAGGACAGCTCTCTGGAAGTGTGCCTGCATGGGAGGGGAGGACACCCCATAAGGCAGTCGTTGTCTTTGTACACAGCTTTCTATTCCCAAAATGCTGTTGCTCAGTAGAGGCTGGGGCCAAGCCCGTTGAAGCCAAGAGGTTCTCCATCAACCGAGGTGGGCACCCACAGCTGGAGGCAGGAGTCTGCACTGGGCGGGTTGTGGTATGGATGCTTTTTCTGGACAGATTAAATGATCCAGCGCCACTTCAACTCCTGGAAGATCAGAAGCCTTGGAGCTATTTCAGTCTCAGCTAAAATCTGCAGGAGCTCAAATGCTCCCCAGTTTCCTTATGCACATTACCCAAAGTTGAATTTGGGAGCCGTGCTTTCCAGTGGCCGGCCCCTGTTGCAGCCTCCGCGCCAGCGCTCCCTCCCCTCTGAATCTGACGAGATGGAGGCTCTCAGATGTCACCGCTCCCCAGGATGACCCAGACAAATTTATCCACTCTTTTCTAGCAATCGCATGGCCACAGGGCACTGGGCTTCTCCTTGAGCTCTCCCATGGTTCCCAAACCAAGCGCGACATGGAAGAGGCTGTTAGAGCTCGCAGGGAGCTTCCCCCGGCTGGGCTCCGGGTGGGATTCATTCCACCTCACTCAAACCATCCAAAAGCTCACACTCATCGCCCAGCCTCTTCCAATCAGACGAAAAAGGTGCACATTCCCAGGCAGGGTCTGACAAAGGCAGAGTGAGTCATCTGCTGCTTGCTGGGACTTGTGAAGTCCTCCTGGCAGTCGGTACGCGATAAGACGGGCCAAAAAAAGCCTGTTTTTTCCCAGTACAATGAGCAAGGCAGACCCAATACCCCATGCACGTCTGGGAGAAGCAAGGTCAGGTTTCATGCACGGACAAAAATCCCACCGTCCCGGCAGCCCTCAACTTCCTCGCCAAACCAGTTAGCGAAACAAAACAAAACAAAGCCTAAGGCGTGTGAAAACATTGCGTTCGAGTGAGTAGGTCTTTGGGCCAACTTCTTTCTTCTGGGCTCGCACGGCACCCGGCATGGTACAGGGCCAAGTAAATACTGCCAGACTCACTCCGTGGACTGAGAGGACTCCTGACCCTTCCAGCGTGTACCCTGCCCTATAGATTTCCTAGCATCTGTGCTTCCAGGAGGGTCCTTCCTCTACCCCACGAGAAGCAAGCCTCAAAGATTGTCCTCCAGACCCCTTTCCTTGGACAAAACCTCTCCTTCCACATCTCCTCTGTAAAGGAATGAGTAGCCAGTTGCTCTAACTAAGGGACACTGATTAGGGAGAGGCCCAAAAGGACAACACAGAACCTCCAAAACACCAAACACTGGAAGCTGCTCCCAACAAAGCGCTCTGTTCTGCAGTCTCAACCGCTTCGGAGCAATGCCCAAAGTTTTCCTTTCGGATTAACAAACCTGGGTCATTCCCACCTGTCAGAGACCACCAAACCTCGCATCCCTTGCGAGGGTTTCCAGCAGAAAACATTCAGCCACTGCTGGCTGCAGCTCTCTAGGCTAGCCAAGTGGAAAAGGATGCTGTTGTAGGGGTAAGGTTGATGCGATGGGCTGGGCTGGCAGGTGAGCAGGTATCCACATCTCCCTGCCCGCTGCGGGATGGCTCACACGTGTGGAACAGTTGCCTTGGATGTGGCAGAGGTGGTAACAGATGGATAACACTCTTCCTTCCTGCGTTTCTGGAAGCTGAAGGACCTGACCTGACTGTACCGGGACTGATTTCTCACCTTTTTTTTTCTCCTCCTTGTATTGGAAATGCCACAAGGAGCAAGGTCATGAAATACGCTTTCACACTGGCAAATCCTGTCCTTGGTGGGAACTTGAAGGTTCCCCATCACATTTTAAAAAAATAAATAAATAAAAAATAATTTTCAAAGAATTCTCCAAGCATTTCTGAGCACAATGAAAGATTCTTTGTTTGAGTTTCAATCTGAGCCTGGAAGGGGCTGAACCTCTTTGATGTGGGAAACAGCCCGTGGTTTTTTTTTTGTTTTTTTTTTTTTGAGAGAGAGAGAGTTTTCATGCTAGCTCAAGTTCTGAGAACATCTGAATTGTAAACAGCGGTTATCCAATCCCCAAACACCAGCGGTACCCTGTGACTCATGTAATTCACCAATGGAGCCCACGGAAAGCAAATATTCTAATCAAGGGGCTCAGCTAACAAGACGGTGGTAAGCGCGATTATTTGCAGTGGATGGGTTAGATAAAGGAGCTCAGTGGACCAGGGAACGGGAACAAAGCAGCGTAGGTAGCTGACCAAACAGGTTGGAGGGGGAAAACTTCACGGTGGATGATGCACCGGCCAAAAATGAACTGCCCTAGACCTTCGTGAGTAATCCCAGGCGACGTGTGCTTCCCACAACCCGTTCAGGAAGAGCGATAAAGGGAAATCCGTTGCGTTTATTGCGGAGCCGGCGTCCCCCGCTCGCTTCCTCCCTCGCATACCTGCCCGTGTGGGGCAACGGGGGACGAACAGGGAAGGGGGCAGCCCACCTGCGGCCCCCCACTCGCCGCCTCCCCTCCTGGGGCCGTCCCGCAGAACAATCGCCCTTTGTGCCCCGCGGACAAAGCCACGGTGCTCCCGTGAGCCCAGCGTTGGGCCCAGACACCTCATCCCGCACCTCGCCTGCCCGGGACGTCTGTGGGGTTGGGGGATTAGGCAAAAATAAAAACCACCGGATCAGACCCCACACGAATTTCCCCATCTTTGGCTCGCTGGTTTTGGGCCTGCTCCCTCAATGGGGTCTGGCCTGGTCCAAGCCCATCGCCCCCACAGGCCCGGGGACTCTATCTGGGTTCCCTGCAGCCCCACAGGCACCTGCCCGGCAGAGAGCCCATCGGATTGCAAATCTGCAGGCTGGTCCTGGCAGCACCAGGCTCCAACTAACCCCAAAACAAGGGATCCAGCCCTGGTGGGATCCAGCCCCCAAGCAGAGACCCGGGGCTCAGCTCCCAGTCTCTCCGCTCACGCTGGGGGGGATCAAGTGATCCCATAGCCCTGCTTGCCCAGCCTGTAACTCAACATCCCTCTACTGCCCATTCTCTTGCTGCCAGCACCCTTGGAAAGGGGATTTTGCCCAAAGGCAGGCATTACTGTCCCCACTGGGACCCCTCTGGGCCCACACCCCCCCCAGCTCTACCGAGCATGGGTGCCAACAGAGTGGCCGTGGGGACAAGGCAGTGGGACAGCTCGAGGGACACCATCACCCCGCTGACAGCTCCCAGGCCCCCGGGGGTGCTGCAGGGGGAACATCTCTTTCTCCCCTGCAGAGCCTCCCTGGACGCGCCTTGGGTTCGGTTTCGTTTAATTTCCTTCTCCATCTTCCTTCTGGCATCGGCCTCTCGGGATTTAAAGGGGAAAATGCTACTTTTGGTCAATCTGGCTCAAATCGGAAAGGAAAAAACTCTTTTTTTTCTACCAAACTCTTTCCTCTCCTTGTTTTATTTTGTTTTGTTTTGTTTTTGTTGGTTTTTTTTTGTAAATTTGGGGCAGAGCCATTGGAGAGGCAGAGAAAGGGGAAAAAAAAAAAAAAAAAACAGGCGCAAACCCCATGAAGGCCCGACATCCACCCAAATTAATAAAATTTTCAGCAGCACATAGCCATCAAACCCTCACAGCCCCGATCGAGCAGCGATTTGTGCAGCTCCGAGGAGCGAGATAAGGAGGCGAGCCGGCACTGGAGACCAGTGGGACCACAGCCGGGTGGGCTTGAGGGGGCACTGGGCACCTCCACCCCACCTCGGGGGTCTCCCCTCCAAGGGACGCAATGATCCCCCCAACCCAGCCAGCCACAGGTGGAGGGCAGGGGGGGCCCCGAGGTGTCCCCACGGGGTGGCCACGGGGCCAGGAGCCGCCCTCCTGCCACCTCGCGGGGCCCCGGTCCCAGCGGTGCTGGGGACGTGGGGCTGAGCACCAGCCACAGCCCCGCTCTCCCCGTTTCTCCTGGTGGGGGGAAAGCGGCCGAGGCAGCAATGTCCCGGCTGATGGCCACCAAGAAGAGCGGCCTCGTGGTGGGCACCCAAAATTTGGGGTGTTATCCCCAGCCGGGGCAGGGGGAGGCCACGGGCTGGGGAATCTCGAAGCGGAAATCTCGTGCGGTGGAAATAAAAATAATAATCAGAAAAATGTCCCCCCTTTTCTGCCATGCGTGGGAGCGATCCCAGTGCCCACGGGGTCCCCAGTGGGTGGCATGGGGACCCTGGTGCCCCCTCCCCAGCCTCTCCCCCTGCTCCAAAGCTCCAAAACGGCGGCGAAGGAAGGGAAAGAGAAAAATACGAAACCGAGCGCGCCCTGGAGCTAGAGCTGCGGAGGGGAAAGGACGAGCGGCCAGAGTGCCGAAAAGCGGGTGAAAAAAGAATTCAACCGAAGACACGCAACTATCATCGTGAAAAAAAAATAATAATAATCAAATAACGAAGGGGAATTCAACCCAAAGGCACGCAGCGATCGGCCTTGGGCTGGAAGCTCCAGCAGCACCTGAGCGGGTGCAAGCTCCGCCGGCCTCCGCCTTACCTGCGCCAGGTCGGGAGGGTTGTCCAGGGCCCGGGCGGGCGGCTTGATGTCCTCGAAGACGGAGGCGTCCTCGCCGGGCTCCCCCGACATGGTGACGGGTTTGAGCGGGGTGAACGCCGAGGCGTCCTCGGGGAGCGGGGCGCGCAGCACCAGCCCGCTGCTCATCGCACCCGCTGCGGGGCTGGGGGGGAGAGGAGGGGAAAGGTGGGACGGGGAGGGCGGGGGGGGATACGTAAACGGGGAGAAAAAGCCAAGGGGAAATTGATAGAAGGGGGAAATGTGAAGGGGAGGTATGGATAAGGGGGGAAATTTGAAGGGGAGTCTATGCGAGGGGGGGATTTGAAGGGGAAATGGGGGAAAGGGGGGAATAGGAAGGGGAAGGATATGAAAGGGGGAAAAGTCGGAAGGGAAATGTATAAAAGAGGAGGGTTTTGAAGGGGTTATCTATGAAATGGGAGAAAAAACAAAGGGGAAATCTATAAAAGGGGGGGGAAAATTGAAGGGGAAATCTACAAAAGGGGGGCAAATTTGAAGGGGAAATCTATAAAAGGGGGGAAAATTGAAAGGGAAACCTATAAAAGGGGGAACATCTGAAAGTAAAATCTACAAAAAGGTGGGGGAAATTGGAGGTAAAACCTCTAAAATGGGGGGAAAGTCGAAGGGGAAATATGTAAAAAGGGGATAAAATTTGAAGGGAGAATCTATAAAAAGGGGGAAATTGAAGGAAAAATATATAAAGGGGGGGAAACGAAAGGAAAAGCAGTATAAAAAGGGGGAACAATAAAAATAAAAGGGAAAACAATAAAAATACAAAAGGGAAATGTATAAAAGTTTTTGTGAAAAGGGGGAAATAATGCCAAAGGAAAAAAAAAAAAAAACGAGGGGGGGGGTAAAAGTTGGGAGAAGGAAGGGGAGGGGAAGGAGGAGGAGGACGCGGCGCGGCCCCGCGGCGGCTGCGGAGCCAGGTGCCGGCCGGGGACGGCTTTACCTGGGCGGTGGAGGAGGAGGAGGAGGAGGAGGAAGAGGAGGGGAGGAGGAGGAGGAGAAGAAGGAGGAGGAGGACCGGGACCGCCGGCCCCGCCGGGACACGGGAGGATAAAAGCGGCCCCGGCACGGAGCGGGGAGCCCCGGGGCTGGGGGCAGCGAGGGGCCGGGGCCGCCCCGAAGAGACGGGGGGGAGGCTGGGGTTTGGGGGAAATCGGGGGAAATTAGGGGAAAAGTAGGGGAAAAAAAAGTTTGGAAGGGCAGGTGTGAGGGCGCCGGGCTTTCCTGCTCGGCTCTGATGGACACGCGAGGCAATTATGGCCGGGGTTTTGTGCAATTATGCTTTTTTTTTTTTTTTTTTCCTTTTACAATTCTGCCTGTGTTTTTGCCTTTTTTTTTTTTTTTTTTTTTTTTTGCAATTATGCCTGAGGTTTGGGTTGTTGGTTGTTCTTTTTTTCTTTTGCTATTATGTCTGGTGGTTTTTGCTTGTTTTATTTTTTTTTTCGTTTTCTTTTTTCTTGTGTTTTTGTTGTTGTTTTATTTATTATTTTATTTTTTTTTTTTGCATGCAAAATATGCATGCCTGGCTTTTTTAAAATTACACTTTTTTTCTTTTTTTTTTTTTATTAAGCCTGGTGTTTTGTGGTCTTGGATTTTTTTTTATTTTTTTTTGAAGAGGGGCAAAAAAAATAAAATAAAAGAGGAGTATGGAAAGCCGGAGCAACGTGGGAATAAAAATTGCCTTTTTTTCCTGACCTGAAACCAAAAAGCCAAAAAGCTTCTGGGTGCACCCCCAGGTGCCTGAAACCGGGCACCTGCTGTACCCAAACCCGTGCTGAGCACCCTTGGGTCAGACCAGAACGAGGGGCAGGAAAAGCTCCGACCATGGCCCAGGTCGAGAACCAAATCTGGGGTCCCCCCACTCAGTGCTGGGGATCCCCGCAGGGCTCTGCCCCGTCCTGGGTGCACCCACCCCTCACTGCACGGCCCCAAATTCGCCTCCCCTGGGATGCAGCAGCGGGGACACGGCCCCCGGGGATCCCTTTCACCGCCACCAGCAGACAAAGCCCCGCAGGGCTGCCGGGGCGGCCCAATCCCCCGCCGAAACCCAAAACCACCTTTTCTGCCTTTTTTTCTCCGCCGGGAGGCTGGCGGCCATCAGACCCTTTTTTGGAGCCCTTCAAAGCACGGCGGCCGCCCCAAATCGCCCGGCCCCTGCTGAACCAGTCTGGTGAGCACGGGGCTGGAGAGGCCCCCCGTGAACCAGGAACCGGGGCGAACCCCAAAGCAGGGAGGATTGAACCCTGCTCGCCCCAAAGGAGCTCTTTGGGGTTCACCTCGCTCCTGGCCTAAGCGCACCGTGCAAAGGGGGCTTCTGGTGGGTGCCGGCTGGGCTTCAAGGAGATATCGGGGGGCTCCCAGGCACACTGGGGAAGTCACTTGTGGGTGCCATGGGGCCGAGACGCAGCTCTGCGGTCTCCAGAACACCTCGTGGAGGCCTTTGGGGTCAATAAGCTTGGGTGAACGCCGCCCGGAGCCTCGTTGGGGAGGCCACAAGGTGCATGTCCCATGCACGGGGCACAGTGGGGTCCCAGCAGCTTCCACGGGGAAAACCCTGCCAGAAGGTCCAAGGGGGTCACCAGTGGGGTTCATGGGGCCGAGGCAGGCCTGAAGCCAGCCCTATGGGGCCGGGACACCACAACACAGCTCAGGGAGCGGGATGGTGGCCCCAGGCCTAACATGGAGGGGTTCCTGGGCCTGTGAGGGGTGTGTGGAGGCCCCACGTGAGGCTGCTTGGTGCAATTAAGGCTAATTAGCACCACCAGGGCTCTGCAGGGCTGGGAAGCAGTGGGGCCTCCGGAGAGGGTATTTAGGGAGGAGGCAGGAGCCCAGCAGGGCCTGAGCCCCCTCCTCAACCACAGCAGCCTGCAGAGGGGGACCGATGTCCACGGCCTTCCTCCTCTGGGGTACAACTCTATTTCCTCCCCCTCTTTTTGATTTTTGTGTTTTTTTTCTCTTCAATAAAACCTCAGAAGAGGACCTCGGGGGGTGCGGGACGTCGTTTCACCCAGCTCAGCCCCTCCCGCGGCGCAGACACACACCACCAAGCTCCTCTCCGCTTCCAATGTTATTCCCCTGTAGAAAAACATCAAACGCTTTTGTACAAATGTCACAGCTCAAGAGTTTAAAATCTCACGGTTTTAAAACAAACAAACGGGGGAAAAAAAAAAAAAAGAAGGAAAAAAAAAAAAGAAAGAAGAAAAAGCCCCCACCCCAAACCCCATCATCCTGGTCTTGGAAAACAGCAGATTGGCAGGACGGACCCCGGACGGGACATCAGTAGTGCTGCCCCCCCCGGAGCTGTCACAGCCTCCCCTTTTGGGTCTTCCGAGGCAGGGAAGGATGTGGGGCTCCCCCCGGCCCTAAGGAGCCGGACCAGCTGGTGAGCACGGGCAGGGGGCGGGTGGGGACATGCACACACACGCACACAGAGGAAAAGCCCCCAGGAGGGCCCTTTCTGGGGGCCGTGGGGCTCTGCCCCCCCCCTCCCCAACCTCAAAGGCAGCTCGCTGGGAAGCTCCCCAGCTCCAACTGGCCTGGGGGGGGTCACGGCCCCCATCACCCTTCCCCTCCCCACCACCCCGAATGCTGCCGCCCTCCCCAGCACCACACAGCGAGGGCGACCCCACAAAAATCCCCATTACCAGTACAAAGAAAAGCGCGTGGCCACGGTCCGTAGGGAGGCTGCTGCCTTTTTAAGTTAGAAACGCTTCGACTGTCCCATAGTCTGCAAAAACTGCGAGCCGGCACCCCCCCCCCTCCCACCCCCCTCAGAACTCCAAAAATCACAGTTCCACGTTCCGCAAAGTTTCCCTTTTTTCCGTGCTGGCGGTCTCGGTGGTGGGATGGGGCTTTTTTTTTTTTTTTTCCTCCTCCTTTTTTTTTTTTTTTTTCCCCGTTTCCTTTTGTACCCCTTTTTCCCCTTTTTTTCTTTCTTCGCCCCCAGCAAGTCCTGGGGAACCCGGTACGGGCCAAGGGGGGTTCGGGAAGAGGCGACACACGGAGAGGGGCTCTGGGCGAGGCGGGGAAGGAGGCTCAGGCGGCTTTCCCAGGTTGAAGGAGGCAGAGTGGAGACCTCCCCACCTCGATCCTCGCCACGTCCACGGGGAAGGCGAGCGCAGAGGATGGGCAGGAGGCCGCCAAGAGCCAAGAGGAGCCCAGGAGGAGCCTCCAGGTGCTGCCGGCGGGGAGGAGAGACCCAGAGGAGGATGAGGACGAGGAGGATGCTCCGGAGGCCGTCCCGCGCTGGTGCTGGGGCCTCGCTCCCTGCAGTCCCGGGCTGTGAGCCCACCGCCGTGCCCCCCCCGGTCGCCTCGCTCCTCTCACATCATGATGTGCCGCCGGCGGTGCAGGGCCAGGTGGTCAGAGCGGGAGAAGCTGCGGTCGCAGTCCGAGCAGCGGAAGGGCTTGATGCCCGTGTGCTTGCGGAAATGCCGGGTCAGCTCGTCCGAGCGGGCGAACTTCCAGGTGCAGCCCTCCCAGGTGCACTTGTAGGGCTTCTCACCTGTGGGGTATAGAGGGGGGGGGGGAACAGGGGGTCAGGCAGCACCGCGGCGAGCGTTGTCTATTAGGCGCAATACGGTAACGCCCCCGAAGTGCCTGCGGCGGGGCGCTAGGTGAAATACGGTAAGCGCCCCAAAATGCTGGGGGGGCCGGCTAAGTGCAATTCAACAACGGCCCCAAAAGGCGTGCGCTAGGTGGGTTGTGGCCGGGACCTGCATGTTTGTGGGGCGCTCCTGCGGCACCGCCCTACAGCCACCGTGCCCCCCCCCGGGAGTTACCCCGCTATCTGCCCGCCCCAGGGCGGTGCCGCCCCCACCCGGAGGAGCTCCCGGTGCGCGGCACGGCACGGCCGGGCCGAGGCTGCCCCCGCGTGGCCCTGCGCTGGGTGCGCGGCGGTGACAGCCCTAAACTGGGCTGTGTTGCGCGCTTATTGTGCGCGTTACGGTAACGCAGCGCGGGGCGCGCCTATTAGGTGCATTACGGCACCACGCCCGCAGCAGGCCGCGCCGGGCCCAGCGCCGCCGGGCCCCGCCCACCCTGCGGGATGGGGGCGTGGCCGGCAGCACCTGGGCGGCCCGCCGCCCTGCCCCGAGGCCACGCCCCCTGCCCCGAGGCCACGCCCCCAGCAGTCCCCAAGGGCCCCCAGGGACCTGCCCCGGGCTGGGGAACTGCCCCTGGGTGGCCCCGACACCCCATTACCCTGACACCCCATTACCCTGACACCCCATTACCCCATGGCCCCACTACCCCACGGCCCACACTCGCCTGTCACCCTTGTCACCCACGCCCCTACCCCTCACCGCTACCCCCATTCCCATACGGCCCACTCCCTCGTCACCCACTACCCTGTCACCCCACTCCCTTCCTGCCGCCGCTGTCATTCTCACCCCACTTACCTGTCACTCCTGTCACCCCACTACTCACCCACTCCCTGTTACCGCCTGCCCAATTATCCCTACTTACCCCCCACTCACCCCTACCCACCACCACCCATTCACCCCACTACCCTCTCACATTACCCTGTCATCCCCATTACCCCATGGCACACCCACACCTACACTGTCTTTACCCCACTACCTTACACCCATCACCGTCACCCGTCACCCCACACCCCATCACCACCACCCCTACCCTGCACCATCCCCCATGGCCCCACTACCCTGTCCCACCACCCCTCTCACACCCACTACCTCTCACCCCATTACCCCCATTACCCAGTCACCCCATTACCCCCTCACCCCATTACCCCCCCGCCCCATTCCCCGTCCCCCCCGCCCATTACCCGTGTGTATCCTCCGGTGGGTTTGAGGTGGGAGCTCTTGGTGTACACCTTGTTGCAGCCCTCGAAGTCGCACTGGTGGATCCGCCGCTTCTTCAGGTCGGGGGACTCGGCGCGGGGCAGGCGCGGGGTGGTGGCAGCCCTGGGGGGGGGGGGGACAGGGAAGGGACAGGGATGGTGGCACCGTGCACCCCCCCGGGACCCCCCAACCACCACCCTCATCCCGGGGCCGCACTCACTCGCGCTGCAGGTCCTGGAAGGGCGCGGGGCCGCTCTCCGAGGCGCTGTCCTCGCTGTCGCTTCGGCATGTCCATGGGGAACATGGCGCCAGGGTCGATTTTCACTGGGGGGGGGCGGGAAAGAAAAGCTATTGAGGAACAAGGAGGGACGGGGGCAGGCCGGGAGCGCAGCGCACGTGGGGAGCAAACACCCCAAAACCCCCCGTCGCCCCAGATGCAGCGACAGGCGGCGCGCGTGACCCCCCATAAAATAACGGGTTTTGGGGATGGGGAGGTACCCCGGGACGCAAGTGGGACATAAACCCATTTGTAAGGGGATGGGGGCGCAGTTAGGATAGGGGACGTTTTGGGGGTGGGCACCCCATATGGAGGGGGACACAGTGGGGACATTATGGGGGGGGGGACACCTGAAAATGGAGCCACTGCAGGTGGCCACCAGCACGGGGACACCGCTGTCCCACACCAAGGGGGCACTCAGGGGCCACTTTTTTGGGGTCGCCACCCTGCCGACAGCCCCTTACGGAGCCGGTGTTTTTGCCGTCTCCCCCGATGAGCGGCACGGTGATGGCGGTGACGCCGTCGGCCGGCATGGTGGTGTAGACGACGGGGAGGGACTGCACCCACCAGCGGGATGGTCTGCAGGTTGCCCATCTTGCTGGGCAGGTGACCGAGGGAGTGGTGTGGATGACGTGCAGGATCTGTGCCCGCCGCTGCCCTGCGACGACGCCAGGATGGAACCGGGCGACAGCACGGCCGGGATGGCCGAGGCGGCCGAGCCCAGCGCCGGGGACGCGATGGAGACGCTGGGGGCGGCGGTGGGGACGGGGGGAGCCACCAAGCAGAGGGGACGAGTGCACCGCAGGGGGAGGTGGGGGGCGGTGGGGGTGGGGGCGGGGCTGCGCGGCGGGCACGGGGGCGGCGGCGGGGCCTTGGCCTTGTTGAGGGAGAGGTCGACGGGCTCGGCCTGCGGCTGCCCGCAGTCGGGGGCCAGCAGCTCCTCGGGGGGCTCCGTCTTGATGTCGGCCAGCAGCACCGGGGGGGCTCCAGGGGGGGCTCGGCCAGCAGCGAGGACGAGCTCATCTTGGGGGGCGCCTTCCCCTGCCCCGCGCCCTGTGGGTTAGCGCTGGTTATGGGGCTCGGTAATTAACGGGGGGGGGTTAATTAACGGGGGGGGTTAATTACGGGGGGGGTTAATTACCTCCCCCCCCCCCCCATCCACCCACCACCCACCCCACCACCCTGCCCCCAAACGGACACGCCCCCCCCACCCCGTGCCAGGGGGCGGGGCCTCCGAATGTGGGCGTGGCCTGTGGTGTGCGGGGCTATAAAGGGGGCGTGGCTTGGAGCTGTGGGCGTGGCTTCGCCCCCCCTCCCCCCCCGCGCCTTCTTAAAGGGGCCGGGCCCTTTAAGACCAAAGGGCGGGGCGGGGTGGGGCGGGGGCGCGCGCGCGCGGCGACGTCGCGCCTCGCCCCCCGCCCCCCCCCCCCCCCCCCCCGCGCCTCCCGCCGTGACCTTCCCCGCGCGCGCGCTCCCCGGAAGCGGGGCCGCGCTTAAAGGCGCCGCCACCCCCGGGGCGGCGGGAGGGGACGGGAGGGGGGGGAGGGCACAGGGGGGGAGGGCACAGGGCGGGAGCCCCCCCCTCACCCCCACCCCACCCCTCCCAACATGGCCCCGCTCCCCCCTCGCCCCACCAGCCCGGGCAGGCCCCGGGAGGCCCCGCGCGGGGCGGGGCGGCACCTGCGGGGCCGCGTCCCCCCCCCACCCCCCCCCCCACCCCGTTCCGTATATCCCAACCCCCCCCCCCTCAGCCCCACCGCGGCCCCTTTAGAGCCCGCTCAAGATGGAGGCGGCCTCGGCCGGCCCCGCTCCCCCCGGCCCGGTTGCGGCCGCTCTCACTTTGCCGTGCGCTCCTCCGAGCGCATCGCAGCCGCCGCCGCCGCTGCCCCGGCCCCGGGCGGCGCGGGCGGGGGCGGGGCGGGGCGGGTGGGGCCGTGCCGGGGCCGGGCGGGGCTGGGCCGCGCCGCGCCGCGCCCACGGGAGGGGAGGGGCGGGGCCCACACGGGGCCCTCACGGGGAGGGGGGGGGTGGGGGGGAATGAGGGGGGGAATAGGGGGGGGAATGGGGGGGGGGGGAGCCCCTAAAAGTGACGTCACCGCTGGCAGCAGCCAATGGGCGCCCCCCCCCCGTTGCCATGGAGGACGGGCTGAGGGCGCGGCGGGGGGGTGGGGGGAGAAATGGGGGAATTGGGCTGGGGGAGGCCCCCCCCCTCAGGGGCCCTGCCCAGAGCCTCGTGGGCCGGGCCCCTCCCCCCCCGCCCTGCAGGCCCCACCCGGAGTTATTTAAACAAAAAAACTGCTTTTTTTCTTTTTTTTTTCTTTTTTTTTTCCTTTTTCTTTTTTTTTCCTGTTTTTTTTCTTTTCTCTTTTTTTTTCCTTTTTTTTTTTTTCTTTTCTTTTTCTTTTTCTCTTTTTCCTTTTTTTCTTTCCTTCTTTTTTTTCCCTTTTTTTTTTTTTTCTTTTTTCTTTTTTTTTCTTTCCCTTTTCTTTTTTTCCCTTTTGTTTTTTTTTTTCCCTTTTTTTTTCTTTTTTTTTCTTTTCCTTTTTTCTTTTTTTCCTTTTTTCTCTTTTTTCTTTTTTTTTTTTCTTTTTTCTTTTTTTTTTTCCTTTTTTTCTTTTTTTTCTTTCCTTTTTTTCTTCCTTTTTTTTCCTTTTTTTCTGTTTTTTTTTTTCTTTTTTTTCCTTTTTTTTTTTTTGTTCCTTTTTCTTTTTTTTTCTTTTTCTTTTTTTTTCTTTTTTTAGTTTTTATTTATTTTTTCTATTTATTTTTTTTTTTTCCCCGCACTTTGGTTCACTTTCTTTCAGGTGGCAGGAGGAAACGCTTCGCAGAGCCCCGGGGAGCACGGTGCCGTGAGGTTCTACTGCCGGCTCCCAGCGGGCCCCCCAACCCCAAATCCCCTCCATGGGGATTTGCCCTGGGGTCTTTTTGGGGTTTTGCCCCCTCTGGGGCTGGCTCCACCTGTGGGATGCCCGAGAGCCAGGGCAGGCAGCACCGTTTTGGGTTTTGGGTACCAAGGGGCGTTTTTTGGGTGTTTTGGGGGCACCGGGGGAGGCCGGCGGGACCCCAGGCTGGGCAAAACACCCCCGGTTTGGGCTTTTGGGACAGGGACAACCAAAACCCAGCCGAGAGGTGAGTCGGGCACCTCGAAATAAAAGCAGTGGCTCCATTCCTCTGCACGCTGCCCCTGACAGCTCCCTTCACACCCCGTTCATTACCTGCCCCCCACCTCCAGCGTTTCCCACCCCGTCCCGTCCTCAGTGCCCTCAGCAAGGTGTTTCCAGCTCCACCCCACCACCACGGCCCTGAGCCGCCTTCTGCTCTCCCCAAATCCCAAATCTCCGAGCTGCCTCCCCAGCAGCCGCCGTCGACGTTCCCGAGGCTCCGACGAGGTAGGGAGGGGCGGCAGCGCTCCCCGCAAAGTCGGAGTTGGGAATCGGCGTCCAAGCTCCTCTCCCCCGGGGCCGCCGCCTCGGTGGCTCTCGCTGGAAATCCACCCAGCCCCACAGCTCCCAAAGGCAGCTGCTGAGGAGGCGGTGCAAGACACGGGGTGTTTCATCCTGCCACGCTTTAGAACCCGGTGGAAGAGCTCGTGCGCAGCCCGGCCTCTCCTCCCCGCCGAGATGTGCCCTTTAGCTCTGTTCTCACACACCACAGACTCACCCTTTCAGATTTTTTTTCCGAGCGTGTGGGCCGGGGATAGAGGGGAAAAGCGTGATTTCGAGAACACAAAATGGAGAGCTAGGCTGGGAGTTGCCACACCCTTTTTTTTTTTTTTTTATACAGTCATTTGATGCAGCGAGAAAAAAAAAAAAAGACGCTGACAGGCATCAGGTCCCACCCAGCAAGTCAGCCCCCCTAACTCAGTGCTCCTGCTCCTCCTGTGTTTAATGGCATCAAACCTCATTAAAAATAGACAGTGCCACAGCCACCCCGGTGCCGAACGCCGTCCGAGTGGCCCGCCACGAACACGGCTCCCGTCGCTCATGCACGCACAGCCCCCAGCCACCGCGCTCCAACAATTCCTGCATGCCCACGGCAGCCCCAGCAAGATGGGCAGGGACGCCAGGAACACCTCGCTGCCACCTTCCGTCACCTCGGGAAGCATCAAGAGGCCAACGGCATCCCAGCTGCTTCACCTGCTCAGTGAATTTTGCCTCAATATGGAGAAAAAAATTAAAATCTCGAGGGGAAACTCTGGAGCGACCTTCAGCTGGCACTCCCCAGAGGCTGGGAAGGGGAAAGGCAGCGAGGGCACGTCTGCTTGCCAAGGCTGCCCCGGGTTTTAGAAGAAAGCAAGCCCACGGTGTCCAAAGCTCTAGGATCTGAAATCCCCGGTAGCAAAAAATTTATTTTCGTGACTGAAGACAAGGAGAAATTTATAAATGTATTCTAGCAACCTACCAATAAAATAGTAAATACTCCATCCCTGTGATTTATACAATCACCTGGGAGCAGAACATCCAGAAAGGCTCTGCCACGTGCCACTATGACAGCCAGGAGCATGAGACCACGTGCACATCACCTGTCCTTACTTCTTCCCAACCCCACACACGCCAGGAAGTCTCTTTTGAAGGTCCGCAGTGTATCCAGACATCATCCGAGTGACTAGTGTCCAACGTTAAAAGGAGAAACAATAAAGAAGATTGCGGTGGTAAGCAGCACACTCATTTCAAAACCCACAAAGACATCCACATTGTTAGATTCTCCTAAAAAAGTAGTTCCGATTCACTTTTTCTCCCCCCAACGACCAGGTGCGTCGGCCGGCGCTCAGCGCATGAGCAGGCTGTGCTTTGGTCCGTCCACTCGCTCCAGCTTCTCGAAGTGTTTTCTGGCGTTGCGGATGTTGATCAGCGTAGCTGCAGAAGCTGAGATGGAGAAGGGAGAAGGAAAAGTTAGAAGGGATGGACAGCACTTATCTGAGCTCCCATCAGCAGAACCAAACCAGAACCCTGGCTGTATTTGGGCTCACGTTGCCACGCCAAACTCAGCACCATGACGAAAAGGAGGAGTGAAGCCCGCTGCTCAGCAGAGGGCACAAGTGTTCTACAGCTTTTACTTGCACCGGGCAGCACCAGATTTCACCTAAATTTGGAGAAGTGACGCAGCGTGAAGCCGGCGCTCTTCCCCACTGCTCAGGGAGCACCAACCTCCCGGCCTCCTGCTCCCTGCGTGGCGCCGGGAGGTGGGGGCTGCTCGCTGGGAGGCACAGGAGAAGAGTCAGGACAAGCTGTGGTCACGCAGAAGTCACTTCAGCTTCTCATCTGCTGCTCGAGCAGAGGAATATCACAGCTCAGTAGCTCACCCAGCACCCCAGGGCTCGCTCAGGTTTTCCCTCACGCAGGAACCCCTTCAAAAAGGGGAGGACAAGATTAACAGCTGTCGGCCACGCAGCTGCCCAGGACAGCGTGCCTTCAGCACCTCACATTTTACCAGAAGCAGCTTCAATCAGGAATATAAACACAGTCACATATTCAGGCCGTGCCTCTGGCGCTGCTGGCCGCAAGTCGTTAAGATAAATAGACGCGACTATAATTAGAGCCCTTGCCCACCGAGACGGTTCAGGCAAGAAGAGCAGGAACTCATGCATAAACCATCCCTGCTTCCCTTCCAAAAAATCACCGTGGCTGCCAAAGCAGCGCAGCCCAAAATAGGCTGTCAGACGCGACCTATCCCATCAGGTCACATCTGCCACCGCGCTTCCCCACCGTGGCTCCGACTGTGAGCCGGCTCCGCTCCTCCTGCGAGGCAAGGGGCTGCTGAACCACCTTCCCTTTCCCCCTCCTTGCTCAGGCAGGGCGAGCCAGCCCCACAGCAGAGCCCTCCGTGCCTTTTAACCCAATCCTTTTTATTGCTTTGCCTGCTCTGTGCCATGTTCCAGCAGGAATGCACCCTAACTAAGCCAGCTGCTTGTCCCCAGGCTCGCCTCTGCTTCAACTTACGTATTGAAGGGTCCGACATAACCACCATCACGTATGTGTTTGAGGTGAAGATGTCAATAAAAGCAGCAAAGTTAGAGTTCCTCACTTCCATGCTCTGGAAAGAAGCGGCCAGCTTACTACAGAGGGGAAAAAAAACATGCAATGTCGCGTTGTAGCGTTACTGTAACAGCGCTCACAAGTTCCCCACCCCATCCCCAGGGTCCCTGTTCAGCACTGGAAACAAAGAAGCGCTGCTTGCAAAGGGGGACGTGAGCACCAGGTGAGGCTGGGCTTTGTTTTTAAGAAGCAAAGCCTCCAGCTTTAGGCTTCATTCATCCAGCAAGGGCAGCACGAAGCCATCGGCCTGCTGAGGGTCTGTAACTCCAGCCACAGCTCCGCCGCCCCGTGGAGGACGCTGTGCCCAGCATCACTCGTCCCACGGATGAAGCTGTCACTCCCAGGACAGTTTTACACCCTCTGGAAGCAAGCACAAAGCTGAAGGATCTCGAGGCAGCTCTGCAAATGCTGCTTCCCCCCCTCCTGTTCAGGCTCTGAACGCTTCCAGATGTTGCTGACAGACTGGGGAACCTGAGGGCGGTTCACAAGACGAGGTTCACAAGACCAGGAGAAAAACCGAGCAGAAAATGGGTGTTTCAAAACAACCCCCTTTCAAACAATCACCAGAGGAGGAAGTTATGAAAGATGAGAAGAAACTCGGACGTTTTTGACCACCGTGCTTTCTAGAAAGCAATTTAACCGAGGCACCTCCTCCTGCTAAGGAGGTATAAAGGCAATGTTCACTTGGAAAGCTTCCTCGTCTCGGCGTGACACCAAAACCCCTGCTCGGGGATCCTTCCCACTGGACCAGCTCACCTGCAACTTAGCTTGAATTGTTTAATAATGTTGCTGATTTTCTCAAATCTGTGGATATCCCGCTGTCTTTGCACTGATAGTGAGAAATGACCTGGAAGGCAGAAAAACGCAGGGTTAGTCATTGATTTCAGGGGAGCCCTTCACAAGTGCTGAGGTGTGAACACCCCAGAGGCACTCCTGTCCCTTTGGGGCCTGAACACCCCGACTTGGTGCCATTTTAACTCGACGTAAAGCACAAAAAAAAGCACAAGGTGGAAAAGCACAAGGTGGAACAGCGGAACACAGGTGGCTGGCTTCCTAGGGAGCTCTCCCTGCACCAATTAACTGAGTCAGAGCGAGATGGGGCTACGCTGCCTGCGCTCGGATCCGCTCCCCTCCCTCCCCCCCACGCAGCAATGCAGCAGCGAGGTGCTTGATGTCTCTGGAAAGATCAAAAAAGTTTCCAGGATTCCTCGCGCCGTGACCCACGCCTACCACATCCCAGCCCCTTCCACAGGGCTGGCAGCCCACACACCTTCACGCCCCAGCCAAAAATCCAACAGGCTGAGAAGGGCATTTACTGCTTAAGGGGGATCACACATCCAACAGCTGCATTATCTTTGTTCCCACAGAAAACCAGGAAGAAGCATTATTTGAACAACGCTACGCTACGAGCTTTAAGCTCAGAGGAATCCATAAATCAGCTGCTACAGCCTTGCAGGAATTAAGTTGTGAGTATTTTTCCCCCCTTCCTCAAGCACCTTAAAAAAAAAATCTTTATTTCCTACTTTTAAGCTTGTCCAACTGTTCCTACAGATACAAGTTTAACCATATTCAAGAATCACATCCATACCAAAGCCTTCACTACATGCAAGCTCTTTTCTCAACTCTCCAGGTTTTCCTGTTACTGCGCTGCGAATACAATTTCAGAATAAGATTTCACTTCGGGAGAAAGGAGGCCCTGGGGAAGTTTAAGTGTAAGAAAACAGTGAGAAGGAGAAAGTCTTTAAAAGTCATCATTACACTGAAAATCAGTACAGAATTTTTGTAGCAAAGAGTAGCTTTCAGTAAAAATAAAAAATAAAAATGCAGGTTTGAATGCATGTAAGCACTGCTACCTAGCACAAGGTGGAACTATTCATTAGCTACACGAGTTCTAAAAGCAGAACTTGCCAGAAACGGCAGGTGCCTAATCCTGACAGTTGAAGTGAGAAAAGTAACGAGAAAAGTCACTTCAGTCAGGCCTTTGTCAAGGAAAGCGCTCAAAACTGAAGTCAGTTTCTTCAGGTCAGTGAGAGCACTGGTACAAAGCCTGAAGAAACCAAGCTAGGCACTAAGAGAACGGCACGACAGGCAGCGGTGGTTTAACCAACACGTTTTCCCACAGCAATCCAGCTGCCAGCGAGCCTCTATCCACGCTTAAGGTTTGTAGAGCATCAGGGGCTCTCGCAAAAAAGGAATCAAGAACAGTTAAAAAACAGTCGAGAAGGAACTGAAAAGACTTTTGTTCAAGCTAAAGAAGGCTCTCGTCCTGTGCAGAAAGGAATTCTCAAGTCCCACGGCTGATAACAGAATGGGGATCTGAAACCCTCCCGCAGCTTGGAAGAGGGAAATACCACTCAAGCCCTCGGCTCAACTGCTAGCCGTGGAAATTTGGGAAGGTCACATGAGCCACGGAGTCCTGTCAGCTACTTTCAGTATCACAAGGCCTGGATCAAAGCGTTCTGCCATCTGGTGCTGGCACCTCTCTCTGGGCAACTGCCACAACCGCACTTTCCATCCAGGGAACTCCGTCCTAGGCTGGGCAGAGGGGCGCGAAGGGCAGAACGGCTGTATTCACCAGGAAAGTGGCTCTCTCAAACAGAAGCACTTCGTCTGCCTCGATGATCTGAGCAAAGTTCCTCAGGTTCATTTCCAGCTGCTGGACATTGGGGATCAGCTGATAGACTATGCTGGACCAAGCCTGTCGGCAAAGAAAGAGAAGAAGGGCTGCGTTAACACATCCCCAGCCTCACCACGAGCTGCTGACATCTCCACCTACCATCCCAGAGCTCTCCTGTCCACTCGGTGCGTACCAGAGCCTCCCATCACCCTGCTGCCCAGGGCACGAGGTCTGCAGAGCTCCAGAGGGCTGCGTGTGGAGCAGCAAACAGCTTTGCCTGTTTTTAGGCAGCTCAACACAGCCTGCTACCCGTTAGCAGGTTAGGGGAGGGCCGGTGTCTAGAGGGAGCTGGGTGCAGGCAGCGTGAGGGGTGCTGCCGGGCACACGGTACGGGATCAGCCTCAGCCAGACCTCGTCCTACACCGAATTTTCAACTGCTTTTGGATGGATTTGCCAGGATGGTGAGATCTGCCCGCTGAAGTCAAGATTAAGAGCTCCTCACCTTCCGCCCAGCAACCCAGCGTGCTGCCACCACTGCCTGCTGCAGCTGACAACGCTCCTTTGCTCCAGCGTAGCCCAGGCAGCACCTACCACGCTCACACCTTAAAGGCTCTGACACTGCAATGAGGGCTGACCAACAAGAAAAGGAAAACCAAAACCACCACCACCAAAAAGCCACCCTCACGTGCTCCTAGAAGCAAAGTAGCAAAGTAAATCCCCAGGATGGTAAATGCCTGAAGAGCTTAACTGTAATGTGGGGAAAAAGCAACCAGGAAAGAGCTCCTTGCTGGCTACACATGACTAAAAGGTGCACGAGGTCTTTTGAAGTGGTTAGGCAAAGCGTTTAAGCAGCATTACAGTGACACCACAACTCCAAGACATGGAGGAGTTTTACTTTTGTTTTTTTAATTAAAAATGCTGATGCCATTCCGGCCAGCTAACCTCCACCAGGAGGAGTCCGTGCAGATCTGAAGAGGAGCAGTCAGTAGCAGAGCAGTAGGAACTGACGCTCGCGCCTTCCTCGTGCTCGTTTTCAAGCGGGAGGGGGAAAAGGCCGGCTGCAGGTACAAACCGAGCTGCTGGGTACAAACCTTGTAGTAGAGCGTCTCATCCCAGATGGAAGTTCTAAAACAAGCACATTCCAAGGGACGGGAAAGGCGCCTCAAGTCTTCCTCACGCTCCTTAAAAATCTGGGAAGTAAAAAAAAAGAAAAAAAAAGATGAGCAGTCGAGAGTAAATATTTCTTGCTTTGTGTGGTTACTGACTGGCACCTCCAGCACACGTTTCAAACAAAACAACTCAACAAGCGCTGGGGAAAGAGGAGCAGCAGCGCGTGCTGGCAGGGACAGGCTGCCAGAAACCCCTCCCGCTGGGGCAGCAGAGACGAGCAATCCCGGCTGTCTTGCAGCAGGAGGCTCAAACCTCGGATAACTGCAGCGTTGTGGAACAGAAACGGAAGCTCCCGGGCACGAGTTTTAGAGAGGAGCAGAAATCTGACATCCCCCGGCCACGCGCAAAAAGCTGGGTCACTGGGGACAGGGTAGAAGGAAAGCACTAGAGAATTTCATCAGCAGGAACTGCGTGGACGAGGCAGCTCCGAGGCGCACGCAGCCTTCTCCCACCAAATTCTGCCCTCCAAAGTTTGGGCTACAAAAAGAAAGGGACAAAGAGAAGGCAGCCTCCAGCAGGCTCCTAGAGAAGCGCAAAAAAAAAACAAGGCCCAGTTTGCAGAAACAGCCTCAGAACAGACCCTGATCTGCACAGCGCAGGATACGCACGGGAAATAAAAGCAGAGAGAGGCCCCTCCCAGCTGCCCACCCCAGGGCCTCAGCAGAACCTGCAGAGCTACCCAAACCCGCAGCTGTACAGCAGCCCCCGAACAGAGCGGGACAGAACAGCTTCAAGGTTTTAGGCTCCCCCTTCAGCTCGCAGGGAAGGAGGAAAAGATCCTCAAAATGACCCTCCGAACAAGCTCTCTGAGCTGTTTCTGCAGACGCTCACCAGGAGCCAGAGGGAAGTTTCGTGGGACTTCTGCACCAGCCTAAGGGGCCTCCGGGCTCGCTGCAGGCCAGGGAGCGGCTGAGCAGCCAGGGGTGCACTCCTCAGGCAAAGGTGCCTAAGCCTGAAAGAATTTTTCCTCTGGTATCAGGAGCTGGATGCTTTCAGTCACAGCTGAAAGATCGAGGCTGGTGATATCCAATATCCTCCAGCCTCCCTGCAACCTTCCAAAAGCTCTGAGGAGAGCAGAAAACACCAAACCCAGCCGAGAGGCTGACCCACAGCCTTTGCAGGATGCCTCCTGCAGCACGGGAGCGTTAAACCAGGGTGATCTCTGGGCAAGCAGGCACACCGAACGCCGTGGGACAGGAAGCAGAAGCACTGCCTGGTACAAACCACCACTTTCTAGTTAACCGGGAAAGTTTCAGCCTTAAAACAAAGCCTTCAGAGCCCAGCTTACGTGGGATCGAAAGCGAGAGCTGAAAAGAAACCAACCACCACTGTCACCACCACAATCCTCAGAGCCACCCAAACGGTTAAAGGCAGCTCCAAGTTTGCTGGGTTTCCTTCGGGTCTCCCTCCCTTCCCTGCCCCCAGCACCAGAACCGGAGCTACGAAAGCAAAGGCTGGGAGCAGCTGTCACTAAAAGCCATCAGGTCTCTCCTCCACTGGATGCATGCAGGAACAACAGCACTGACACAATCTGGAAAGGGAGGAAGGGGCTCAGACAATTCTTAGAGACATCTGAGAAACAATTCCAGGAGCAGTGCTGACGGGGCTGGATGTGAAGCACAGAACAGCACCGTTACACAACGCACAGCCAGGAGATGCTCTCTCCGAAAGCATTTCTATGGCAACTACCAGCTGCTCACCAGATCCCGCTGATCCTCCTGCACCAGGTCCATCTTGTGCACCAGGCAGAAGATCTTTGGCGTCGGGGGAGTTCTGGAGGATGGCCTCCAAGCACGACTGGTAGTAGTGCATGTCCTTCTCCAGCTCGCGGCTCTCCACGTCGAAGACGTAGATGAGGACTTCCACGTTGCGGAAGATGTTGTCCCGCTGGCTGGTGAAGTAGTTCTCCATGAACGTGTCCTGGCTGAGGAGGAGCAGAGCAACAGAAGCACGAGACCCTCGTCAGAGCAAGCAGGCTCACTTCTGGCTGCCGTTTGCAAGAGAACGTCCAGGTGAAGGGCTCGGGCTCCTTGCCAGCAGAAGAAAGGAGCCAGCAAGGAAAGAGTGGGACTTCCTCAGCCTTTCCCGTGGAGGTAGCTCAGAGACTGCAGGCAGGAGGCCAGCCTCCTTCCACCCACAGCCCTAAGATGTGGGATCCGCTCTTCCAGAGCTGCCTCACCAGTTCCACACGCGCGAGCAGCGAGCCTGCTCCATACACGAGCAGCACGCGGCTGCCTTCGGGGCAGAAGGCCCTCGCTCTGCTCTGCTCTCGTTCCACCCCCCCCCCGTTGACAGCACCAGCCCCCAGCAGCGCCAAAAGCAGCAATCCAAGCACCTACCCTCCGCAGTCCCAGAGGTTTAACACCAGGTTCCGAGGAACCTGACGTGGAGTGCTCCACAA